AGGCATGGTGGATCGATCGAACAAGGACATGTAGATGTGAAACGATCAAGGGTCAAAGTTAAAAATACCACTGCCCAATCGTGACAAAAAAAATACGGGCGACGCACGACGGACGACGCACAACGGGCGACGCACGACGGGCGACGCACGACGGGCGACGGACGACTTACGACGGGCGACGCACGACGGACGACGCACGACGGACGACGCAAAATGGCATGTTTGGAACTGGTAAATGGCAGAATTGGGTCACAACAAAAAGCAAAATGCGACGGACGACGGGTGACGGCAGATATGGAATTCCATATACCTGCGTACGTACGTACCTGCATATACATGTACTTTACAAAATCAAGGCGATGGTGCTGCGACCAATGACAAGCGCCTTGACCAAGGCTATTAATTTTGGTCTCAGGCCCATGTTGGTGGTACCGCTCTGTGGTCAAAAGGATAAGAGGCGAGGAATTTGGGAGAGGTTGTGCGTGAACACGACAATCCGCAAACTGCAAGTTTTGTTATTAAAATTGTCGAAGTTATTAAAATTGTCAAAGTTCTAGTTCTAAACGTGAGGCAGGGCACACATATGTTCGGTCCCCATAGGCTGTGCGTGCATTTAGTTTGTGTATTCGCGCATATCGGTAGTGATCCTTGTGAGGGATTTGAACTGCATTTCTCTTGAACACCTCGTGTTTGAATAAATTGCCAAGAATCTATCAAATGGTGATATTTAATAGCTTCTGGTAAGAAAGATCTCCGGAAAATAATCAAAGAAGTGGAAAATGTCAGTTTCACCACAAAGAATAATTATGAAAACAAATCTTTTTTTACCGAACTGTGTGTCTAATTTTCACAATTTTGCCGGGTTTACCTTGATATAACTTTGATGCCACGTGGAAGACTAGTAACTGTTATGATCAAAAAAGTTTATTACTTCTAAGTAGAAAACCTTTTTGGAACTTCACTTCGTTTTTTATTGGGACCCATTTTTGTCATTTTCCGTGTTTTTCACCTTATTTAGTGCCCAGTTTTCACGCTTTTGTCGAATTCCCCTCAGGTCATCGATGATACTGTTTGGAAGACTCATGAATCCTTTGTATCCATCAGTTCATTTCTTCAAGATAGAGAGCCGCTTGTCTGAAATGCGGTTCGTTTTTCATGCGGATTCAAATTTCCGCACCGAGTCTGACAGCGGTCAAAAATGAGATGTCCTGATTTGGGGCATGGCATAAATATACACGCACACGTACATGTACCCGGATACGAGTGCGTTTCGGTACGAGTTGACTTTTATTGCATTGCACTGTTACGTACATGTACAGTGTCAAATTGCGTAACTAACTGGCACAAACAAAAAAACTTTCTGTTTTCATTCATATGGTTTCCTTCTTGCATGATGCTTTCTCATTTGAGCGGTCATGATATTCCTCACTACTCACAAGTAAAGAAATCGTTAACAGGCAACCAGTGGAATGATTTCAAATCCGCCAGGTACGTTCGCGAAAGGACAAGTGGAGGCATTTTGAAGATGTTGGAGTACGTCATCCAGGTACTGAGAGTAAGTTGCAGGAATCCAGGCGTGACGTTATCAATGCATAACCAGTTGCTCCATTACTGTGAAATATTTCCAGATGACGCCCGAGTTGCAAAGATAAATTGGACGGATTTGCACACTGGTTAAGTCTGATGGGTATATGGCGTGTGAGCCAATGATGATTCTAAGATCACAACTGATGAAAGCGCTGGATGAGAGTGCCCCCAGCGAGAAGACTACGGACATCGAACTTGGCAAGTTGTTGTTTTCAGCTACATGTACATGTATATCCTGTGAACTCAAACTTTTAAGTGGATCAGTTTGAGGCTATTTGCATTTGTCCAGGATTGCAATGAGTAAATGATAGTGAATGTTTGGTCTCTGCCTGATGTTGCTGAAAGTGCATACAACGCATGTAGATTACGAATAATCGTAATGGACCCAAAGAGCCTTTTGCATAATTATTGTCATATGCAAAAAGGAGCCGTCTTAACCCCGCTTCAAAGCACGATGACTCGAAGTGCTTGCTGCACGGGGCTGACCACCTCTTCCTGGTAACCTGTACCCTGACACTAATTTCTCTGGTATTTCGGCTCGGTGGGGACAGTGACACATTCAGACTTACCGTCACTGTGGTGTTGCTGTACCAATCAGCAACACCTTGTCAGCTTGGCCGAAGGAAAATTGTGCCTTTTGATCTGAATTCGGATGACAGTCACATACGGCTATTTCCAGCTTGACACACGTATATAAACGTACAGCTGCTGCCCGGCAAGACCCCCCCCCCCACAACGGAGCAGGCTTTTGTTTTAGTCTGTCATAAGGTTCCATTCCACAGGCGGTATAGCTTGCCCGAACGTTTTAAATTATTTTTCTCGTATTTATCCTGGAAAACAATCATCACGTCACACAATATACATGTATCATTCTTTAGCTCACCATTAATTGTATAAATACATGTAGTAATAATGTAAAATATAACTTCAATCAAATAATGGGTCAAAACAGTTTGGGATATTAACATGAAACTTCGCACAAAAGTAAACCTTGACGTCGAGATATGCCTGTTTTCGTGACGTAAATGTGACCTAATCAGGAATCAAATTACAAGTGATTTCAAGGCAGAATTAAAAGAAATGTTTTCAAATGTAGTTTGTGAAATGAATGAGGTATGGATCCCATAAGATACGGGCTATACCTCAGAAACTAAAGGATTTCGTAGCTATAGTGGTGAACCCACCTGTTCAAAATTACGTTTTTATCCCGAAACTTTGGCGACACTTTCATTCACGGAAAAGTTATTGATTGAAATTCCTCTTTTTATTCAATCATTACATGAGGGCAACAAATGGCAACAACGTTTGTTTACTGATAGCACTTTGCAGCATATAAATTTACCAGAACATGTGAAACACTGAACTAAAACTGAAAGCCAATGACGGGCTTGACTGAATAGACAACATGTAGGCCTACCGTTACACTCTGTAAACACTTGCTCAAATCATGTACAATACTATACTACAACATTATTTGATTATTTCGTCAAAAATATTAAATGAAGTGAATTGATATTTTAGGCATTAACGGTATTAATTCCCATTATATATGTCACAGTTATAAGTGGGTAAATGTCAAATATCAGTCCACGAAACGATATTTTAGTTCAACCATGCACAACCTGTCCATGCATGCATGAGTTATCTTTACAGTTCAGGAAGTCGGCAATTTTACAGTTTTAACCTGTTGTAAGTTAATGTGTGTATCGTAGACAGTTGACACTAAGAATACATTGTGTGCAATGTCGTACATTTCCCACACTGTTCATATACATATACAGTGGTGCCGTATCATGGTGATGCAGTACTTCCGACCGGTCCCTAGCTTGACAGCTAGAGTTGTGCAGAAACGTACTCAGCCACCAGTCTATTTCCACTCTCAATAATCTTGGACGCTGTGATAGAATTTCATGGTTGTTCTAATGGCATAATGTGTGTGTTTTTTAAACGCATCCAAAGAAATGATTTGAGGGCCACCCGTCGGGCGGCGCGGCAGAGTGTAATAGGGCTTCTGTATCGGAAAGTCGGCCCTGGGGATCTGTTTGGTTTTAACCCTCCGCCGGAGTCAGGACTGGCCACTGGCCTCTAGCTGGCCGCTGTGTGTTGGACTTCTCGTCAGCCGCTTCTAGCAGTTCATCCTCAGTGCCTACAGTGCTGGTTGACTCTCCCAAGCACACGACGACCATGCGGTAAAGCTGCAGTAGAATGACTAGGACGTTCTTGATGGTGAAGAACAGCATCATCTGATTGATGACTTTGTGGTAGATGAGTAAGTAGAGACGCATGGCCAGGAACGGGCCGTCCTGCATCAGGATGGTGATGCAGAGAGCCCAGATCTCATTCGAGCAGCATCCCAGGACGCCCTTGCAGGAGCGACCACCTGAAACTTTGGCGGCCCGGGGGCGGGGAGCGGACACCGAGGTCAGCACCAGGGTGAACTGTAGCAGGCTCCAGCTCCACAGGCCCAGGATGATGATGATCAGGAGGAGGTTGCAGATGACGACCTTCTCCTTGAGACTCTCCAGGGAGAACTCCAAGATGTCGGCCGCCATGCCGATGTACACGAGCAGCAACTGGGACAGCTGGTCACGGGTGAGCGATCCCTTAGGCAGCAGCCATCTTCCCACAATTAAGAGGGCAAGCAGGAATTGCTCCAGGCCCAACGCCCAGGAATCATCGGATAGGGCTACGGGAATGCTGATCTGAAACTAACAAGAACGGATTCAAACGTTCTAAGCAGCTCTGTTCAAACGACCATTTCTCTTCTGTGACTGGATCTCTATTTTTTCAGTTGATTACATGTGAATATTCCTTCTTTTTACACATGGATAATTGAGGATTAGCATTACAGCCACTTCGTCCATTCGGGGTAAATGGGCGAAGGGGTTGTTGGCGAAGTGGTTGTGAGCGATGTGGTAAATGGGCAAAGTGACGGACACCGGTTACAATATCCGTGTATGATGCTCATACAGTCCCCAGCCATCTTCACCATGAATGAGGCGCGGGCAAAACAGCAGTGGACTAAAAGATGGAAAACTTTGAGATAGAAACTTATATCCATTTGTTACGCCTGTTACTTAAAGGGTGGCTGCAACCAAGGCAAACCTTCAACATTCACCGTACGGTGTCAGTTAACGTATATTTTCGACTTATATTTCACTAATGTTTAAAGGGTATTTAACTGCCTTTTTGGTTTTTATGCTGATGTGTATCTCCATATTAGCCAATCTGTGATGTCATCCCAGGACCTAAATAACGCAAGTTCGAACGACGACTATAGTTAACTTCAGTTCGACTAAAACACCGCCCAACTGATGGAAGGTTTGGCCTATCCAGTCGACCATTTGGGACCAGGCCCGCTGGTTATCAATAACCGATTTCATTTATCATCACTGAGGGAACCATTCACATGAAAATAATTGTACGAGATTTCAGTGAACGTGTATGTTGCAAGAGTCCGAGCCAACGGTGAAATATGAGTAACGATGAGACCTTAGAAATATGCCAACAAGGGTCGTTCGAGTGAAACTGAATTGCGCATGCGCTACCTTCACAGGAAAAAAAAGGAAGGCCTTGGTCTGTAACAAAATCAATTTTCCGAAAATTTGACTCTAACAACCATTTCCAGCTGTCATTTTTTACTACTGTAAAAAAAAATCTAGTCCAGTGTTCGGAAATTGGAATTCGGTGAGTTCTTACCCCTGCAATGTCTGAGGACAGTGCAGTCGAATTGTAGGCGGTGTCCGACGAGCAGTCCGTCCAGCCCATGGAGTCGCGGTACGCGACGCGTTTCTCGTACAGATCGAATTGCAGCAGCCATAGACCCGGCACCGTACTGACCAGATACAGAAGAACGCTGGGACAGAACCTGACAAAGGCAAAATTGAAAGTGCTCACGTAATGCCGACTGTGTGTTATGAATTTCACGTGACTGGTGAATAAAAATACCTGAATGCATATTTGGTAGATTTTTCTTTTCATTCGCAGAGAGCTTTCTCTTTCTTTCGCAGTCGGACCAATCCCTTTAAAGTAAAATATCTATGGAGACTTTCGGTGTCATGGAATGCAGGCCTTTTTCCGCCCGTTCCCGATGTCACTGTCCTTCGTGCAGGTATTCGTTTTAGTTACACGTCGTTTGCTATTTTTTATCTGAAAAATCTATCAAATGAATGTTTGCAAAACAACCTTTGGACAGTTTTGAGCCCATGGATAGATTTAAATGCACAAAGAGTACACTTTTTCAAACTTTTTACCTAAATAGGATGTCAAAATAGTTTCACAAATTGAAGAGAAGCACGTTGAAACGTTGCACAAAAAGGTGTGTCAGAAAAATTCAATGCACAGCCCTTTAAATAACAAACCCAAAACATACAGGCGTTTATCCAGAGGGTCGTTGGGGGTCAACCCCGTACAGTGCCATATTTTTAGGGGTCTTTATCTAAAGGCTGGAAGACCCCTAAAAAGCGTAAACCATGTGGCGGTCTGATTTTTGCCTGTTCGATGCAGGATAATACACAGGGATTAATAGCTTCATAACAACGGCGACAACTGCACACAGTGACATCCCGGGACGAACACAGATTTTCTGAAACCTAACCCTCTCCCCAGCAAAACATCCAGGATCCGCCCCTGCCATAGTTGGTACAGCAGGAGGCACTGATTTCTTAGTTCGCTACAACTCTACAACAAAGTTGTAGGATAAAATTATGAGGTCATCCAAACTTAAAGTCAGAGGGAAAACATGAAATGAAATCTTGAAAAGGCTTTGCAGCAATATGATAATAACTCCTCTAATGAAGCAAAATTCACTACTTGAATAGAATAAATTGACAAATTGATCATTCAGATTTTGCTTTATGATCTTGATACAAAAGGCCTGCAGATAAACGTCGTCGGATCTCCATTGTTAGAATACTATCGTAAACATTATACGCAGTATTTTCTGATTAGATTGTGATCATTCGATGCTATGTTATCCTTGTTGTCGTCATTTACCAAATTCACAATATACATGTAGACCAATAGTTTCGGCCTCTGTAGAGATTGATGGACATCGGTTCTTGAAACTGCTTATTTGATGACATTGCAAACGAGTGACTTTGGAATCTCTTCGGCCTACTTGCATTGAAGAATATCGGGAAAGATTTGGATGAATCTTGTGTTTACCCACCATTTCCATTCACCGTCGTCGGCGAATTTCAGTGTGATGATCATCTCCACGGGCAGCAGACAAACGGGGATGACCAGCAGATAGTAGATCATCTCGGAATTCACCTCCGTGACTCGCCATATGGTGATGATGCCGTGGATTGCGAACAGGCACCTGGCCAGCAGGGCCTTCAGAAAGGCCACACAAGCCATGATTCCCTCACTGCTACGGTGTTCAATATTGTCACTACCGAGGATGTCGAGTTTGAAAGCCAAGCAACGTAAACTTCCATGGATGGTGGAAACGGTTGTCAGCTATCGGCCGTGCGTGCTGGGCTCGTTGCGTGTCTCACTTTAAAGCTTGTCTGCAGTTACAAGACTGATATCGAAACAGTCATATCTCACGTTTACTAGGACAACACGATTTTTTTCTCTCGCCGGCTACACTCACATGAATTACAGAGGGACGTAAAGCAAGATGCAGCGGTGCCGATACCATCCCAACCCTGGCGTCAATCGGTTTTCCATTTAATTAGCCAGCCAACGACGACTCTTGCTGTCTCACTTTCAAACAACCCCGTTGCACGACGATTAAACCAACCACCCGTGAAAATGAGCGTTGAGTCGCCATAATAGATGGATCATAACAAAACCAAATTTGATTGTAGTACCTTAGTTGCCCATTAGCTTTTCGCGCAGAAAGGCTTTAATTTATCAAGTTGATGCTAGGTGTCTTTGTATGAATTAATGGTAACAGTGTACGACCGAACTTGTGTTAATTATCTGAACTTACGCCACCTGCGACACTGGATGCAAGCGCATTACCCATTGAGGTGATTGCCATGGCTAGCGTCATTGTCCCACAAGTTGAGGGTGGTTTGTCATTCGGGACGGATACTGGATGATGGATGCACAAGTTGAAAGCGAGGCATTTCGCTTTTGTCACGATCATGACCATAAATTTATTCATCACAAAAGAGTGATCGGTCTTACCGAAGCAACACTGCGCAAGGTTACAATAGAATGTTTGTACAGCAACGTTTCACGCACAACAAAGGGCTAATTGCAACCTGCAAAGAGGAAAGTGAATTATTTGTACCGTCCCCAGACACTTTTTTCTTCCCAGGGGTAGAGCCCACTTTAAAATGCTGACCTGAGTGACATCCCCAAACAGTGGAAAATGTCCAGTTCATAAGACCAAATTTTCAGTCTGATATATATGCCCCTTATTTGGAATATGATCGAGGTATGAGAGAGAATATGATGAGCCTGTCAGTCTCTGCCGTATGCTTTCAAGCCTTTTAGTTTGAAGGGTTATCCCCACGATAAATGTAAAGAAACTTCTGGACTTCTGGTGTTTTGTGAAGTGTATCCTTTTCTTGCTAAGTTTTTACTCCATGGTACATGTGCGATGGACGGAAATTGTGGACTTCTTCAGAAAAACATGGAATGGGTACGAGGCTAAGTTTTTTCTTTTTACTTGGTGCCCCAAAATCTTTTTACAATTCCAGAATTATTATGTTTCATTTTCCTCTCCACTCCTTCATTTATTCTGTTCTTCGTGCCCATCAGTTTTGTCAGCCTGATTCAGGCCCACTTTATGCTCATTTTATTGCCCATTAGACTACTATTTTGAAGTGTGGCGGAAACAATAGGAGGGCGCTATAGGCCTCAAGCTGGACCAAGAGAGGGCGCAATTTTCCTCGCAACGCAGGTTCGTTTGGGGTGCACCATAGCAAATAAATTCCCACAGATAGCAGTGATAAACCCCCATACTTCACAATTATTTTATAAATACTCACAACTCTCACAGGTGTCCAGGCTGCACAGAAGAACAATGATCGACATGTCC